TTGCCATAATACTCTGGCTTGATTAAAAAGGGAGCGCAAGAAATGTTAGCGAAGTGAGGAAGGAGGAGACTGCAGTAGCCAGGCAGAGAAAATACAGCTCGCAGTGTTTTGCAGCTGTAGCAAAGTAGGATGGACTGATTGGGAAGATCTAGCAGATCTTGATGGTAAGGCCTTATCATGAGGTGTTTACGTGTTAGTGTAGTTGTCAGATCTGGTGAGTTTCATTTGTTTGGCTAAATGCTTACAGAGACTTAAGACAGGTTTTTTTGCTGTGGGTACACTTAGTTAATTCATTAGTCATCTCTCACTTCAATTACTGTAATGGCTTCTGGCTAGATGTTGTCCTTCTTCTGCTCTTCACTTGCAATCTATTAAAAAAATCTGCCACATACATAATACCTTGTCATCTTTTCTCTTAGTCTTGCTGCGAGGTCCCCTTAAAACCAACTTTAAAGGACACACTCAGGATGAAAATGAAACCACACTTTGAGTTCCTAGTTGAAAGAAATGGTTGGTTGTGCTATCTTGTGGTTATTTCATAAAAGGTATTTTAAAAGCCCATCACTTGTGTGGTGTGACAGGCACCTTGGAGTTCTGCAGGATGTACATGGCAGTGAATGATCATTGTAATTCAAAAGACTCCTGCTCCCACTGTGTGGCGTCCTGCACTCAGCCAGCTGGCTACCACAAGGAGAAGAGTCAAGATTTCCTCCTAGAAGAAAGGGAGTGGTGCTTGCTCATGCATTGCATCCTCTCCTACCGTGAAGAGAGGAAGAGGGCAAGTTGCTGCTGGTACCTCGGTAAGAAGAGAATAACTTTCCTTTAGTTTTTAGTGAGTGTGCAAAGTTGCTGTGGAAGAAAGCAATAAAACGGCAGCTTTGGTAGCGCTTGTGGTCTAAAGAGCAGCTTGTTGCCTTTCCGTGCTTTTATTTCTGAAAGGCATCTGGGAGGAGAGGGCTCAGAAGGTGAGGCAGAGAGGTAGGATCGCGCTGTGTTACTGGCAGGGGAGGGAAGCTGACTGCCTCACGTTCAGAAATGAACCTGGGGATCTGACAGTCGTGGGCCATCGGTGGTGGGTTATTATGAGAGTGGATGAAAATGGGTGTTGGAAGGAAGAGAAGGATTTTCAGCTTATAAGGGAGAAGTGGATTGGATTAACAGGTGATTGGGATCACCTTGGAATCCAGTGATGGATTTCTTTCTGTCTGTGTCGTTCGTGTGTGCGACTGTCCTTTACTTAAATAGAAGTTACTCATATCCTGAAGGATGGTAAGAGAAGGGAGCGTCTCTTTTAATAGGAAGGAGACAAGAGCTTACTTGATTAGGGATTTGCAAATGGAGTGTGATTGCAAATTATTGGAGATAACGAGAGTAAAAATTTACATGTTAATACCAAAATTAATAACATTAGGAAATACAGTAAGTGAGAGAGAAAGATTCCATGAAAATTATGAACCAGGAGCCCTGAGAGCTCTTCCTGGTGTCTTACTGTGTGGCAATGGAAGAACCGTGCTGGACGTGACTTGTACGAGCATGAGAGCTCACAGCACCATGTAGGTAGGTGAAACAGGTAAATGCTCCGTGTCTCAGCAGATCAGTCCTGAGGCTGTGGCTCTGCAACTTGCCAGGCTCCAGCAATCCACGCAACGCTGGGCTTTTGACCTCTTTCAAAAAACATAATTACTTTCCAAAACAGTTTCAGAGCCTTGGAGAGAGTGATTCTGCAGTGATTGTGGAAATGCAAATATTTTTCTATTGTCTAATATTTGGTCTCAACTACAAAAGAGCTTGTTAGCTTTACAGTATGTTCCTGAGGCCTCATCTGTATGTCAAAATGGTTATGACTGTGAACTAATGTTACAATTCTACTATTCCTTGCCAGTAGGATGGCCAGGGAATATGGTTAAAATGCTTTGAGATTTGAGAATATTTTTCAAAGCATTTTAAGCTGTGTACTCCTATCTGTGGAGGAGACAAATGTGAGCTGAATTGATTGTACCATAGCAATTGTTCTGCTTGGTGTCCGTGTCCCATGTCACAGGCCTGTGCTCCTAGAGAGAGCCAGCCTTTCTTGAAGGCTGTGTGGAATATATCTTGTAGGACGTGGGAAGCCTCAGCAATAATCCCATCTGGATTTTATCTTTTCTATCCCCACTTTATAGTCTCTCTTTTCCATTTCTTCTCTTAAGGGAAGAGCAGTGACTGTCAGAGCAAAAGGAACAGTAGAACATACACTTTGTGGGAAGTGAATGACGCAAAACCTGCAACTGGGACCGGGCCGTGTGTGTGTTGTAGAGCTGCTGGGCTGGGTGAGGAGTGCTCCCTCCTTCCTGGTTCCCCATCTTCCCGTGCTATCCCGCAGCAGCTGCAGCTCCTCGGGGGAAGAAGGCCTGGGCCCATGGCCCCACAGGGAGACCGGGCTGCGGACCTGCTAAGGCCCAGGCATGGTTAGGGCCCCTTGGCCTGGTGGGGCAGGTGGACCCTGGACATCTGCATATGGGTACAGCGTGACACAGGCAGTGTGTGGGACTTAGAGATACCAGTAAGATGGTAGGGAGGTGGGACAAGGAGCCCCAAGTGGGAACTGCAGACTTAGGGCAGAAAGGTTATTTTTTCTAGAGCTTGGAGTGCAAGGAGAATATTGGGAGGAGAACAGAGAATAGGGCTCATTACAGTTGTGGGGAGAGAAAACACTGGAAGATGGGATGCAGGGTTTGGGCCAAGCCAGAGGGTGAAGGGCCTTGTACATGTGTGCAGGTGGGATAGCTGAGGAAACATAGGAAGGGGGCCCAAACAGCCGTAGAAATAAAAAGGGAGAGGCCTGGTTAAAAACATATGAGAAGGGCTGAGCTAGGGCATGGATTGGCCAGGAGTGGGGGGATTACGTTGTTCGTTATTAAACTGGGCCACAGAGAATGACCAGAAAGGAAAACTGTGCTTTCTCTCTTGGATTCATGCAGGTCATACTGAGACATGGGACATGTGAGCAGAAAATATGAGGTTGGCAAGACAGAGTGATCTATCCATGTTAACCTTTGTGTATGCAAACGAATAATAAACTTGGGGAAAGACTAATTGGCTTTGAAAATTGATGTCAGTGTGAGGTTTTCAGAGGGTGATTAAGAATGTGGGGTTTTTTTTTTGTAATCCAGTGGCTGTTCTGAGAAACTGAAGTTGTTGCTATTAACCGGAAAGGTCCTTTGCTCCATGTCTCATTTCGATTGGCATTGTTACATTAATATCTACATTTCTTCTGCTAAATTGCTTTCTGATCTGCAGTTCTCCGTGCCTCTCCTCCAGCCCTTCTTTTTTTTTCTTATTTTCCATCTGTCAAAAATCCTTATAAAATCCTTGGCTTCAGCAGCACATGATGCTCCCCAGCCTTGTTTCAGCCAGGAAATTCAGCACTCGCTGTTGTCTGCCCATGGTGAAGTTTGCTTTCCTGGCATGAGAAATCCCTAAAAGTTCATCTCAGTCCTTCAGTGTGCTAGTCCCGCTGCCACACGCAGTTTGCAGTATTGCAAATCCTGTTAGTTCTGGGGTTTATCATAAAGGGAGTGTGTGGTGGTGTTTTTTACCAAGAGGCAAAGCTACATTTTTTTGTTGTTGTTGCTTTCTCAAATACCCGATTATTGTTGTTTGCATAATTGACCCTGATGTGCCTAAATTCCCTTTTTAGGAGGTGTATATAGCTGGCTTACTCGTCTTTGTTTAAAATTTAGATCATATTATAATTTCTTTTAACTAATTAATCACATAATCTTGTTTGTTTCTGTTTATTACTGTTTCGTATGCTGTAGCACATGCTGGCGTCTTTCTAACTTGCCAAAAAAAAAAAGCTCAACCACTCTTACTCTGTAATCTCCTTGAGCTACTCATTTGTCTATCAGTAGAAGCTTTAGAATAATAAAAACACCCATCTGGGATGCTCTCCCATGTAATGAATGCCATTTGCAGAGCTCACACCTTCCACAAAAATGGGTCTGATCTAGGGAGCTTTGCAGTGTAACTGCTAGGCCAAAGTCTTGTGCTTTCTCTTGTCAATGGGTGAGGTAATTCCAGAGGTTCTGTCTCCCATCTCACATAAAAGGCTCCTGGTCTCCAGCTGCTTGGAGTATATTCCTGGGAAAGGTTAGCTTGATACTGACACTGATTTCCGATTCAGCTTAAGGTATGTCCTGAATTTTCCTCCAGCCCGAACTGAGGACCAGAGAGGTATTTAAGGAGATGGTGAAAAGTCAGTGCCATGTAATGCAGGCTGTAATGGCTCCTCTGAGCGTTGTGGAAGGAGGTGCCGCTGAACTCCTCGAGGCTAGCCCTGTGTTGAACATGGTGTATTCCCTTATGGATCTGGCAGTGAACTGCTCCTGTACAGTCTCTGTGTGATGAAGAAGTACTGTTTCAACCTATAAATTAAGGAGCATTGAGCAACCAAGCATGCAGGCTACTGCTGTAACTGTCCATACCTTCATAGCAGGTGCAACCAACTCTCATCCTAAGAAGGGAGGGCAGGCATTACTTTCTCCTTGCCCTGCTAGGGTCACCTTTGTGTTACCTGGGTGACACCTGTGCTAACTTACTGTCACCTGACTCCGCTCTTGGACAGGCACAGGGAAAACAAACATGCTTACCAGCTGACATAAACTAGACTTACACTTACATCATCCAAATACTGAAAAAGCAGCAGACCCAAACTACCTCGATATGTCCTTCTGGCCTCGTGTGCGCTGGAGAGAAAGGCAACCAAAAAAGCCTTGCAGTACAGAGGCAGTGGGCCACTGACCAGAGCCTCCGCTTTCTTATCCGAGAAGGGGGAGGTAGAAGCACTTAGATGCTGCTTTCCTGTTCTCCCTCAATAATTAAGAAGCTGTTTTTATCCTTTATGATTTTACTGTAAAGTGCATTCATGTGCTGCCATTCAAAGTGCTGCCTACAGTATCAAACAGCAATATAATAAGCAGTGCATTACTAACATAAGCATGTTTTATTTTTCTTTACAGGTAACTGTGCTGGTCCTTTTTGCCCTTGCGTTCTTAACGTGTGTTGTATTTCTGGTAGTCTACAAGGTTTACAAGTATGATCATACCTGTCCAGAAGGATTTGTTTTCAAGGTAAATTGTGTACACATTCTAGAAAAATAGGAGAGTATGTAATATTCTCTGTGTTGTTTTCTGCATAACCTTGATTAAGTCATGCTGTATTGCATAGAAATTTGTGTTTGTTTCCATAGGTTACTGTATTTCCTGCGATGTTTCTTTCTGCTTAATTTCTAATTGAGGTTGTACTATTGCACAGTTTTCATAACGTTGTTACTTTGCTAATGCTTTTAACATTGAAAATACAGCAAAAGTCCCAACACCAGTGTCCTTCAAACATACTTCATCTGCAGTCGTCTGCACAAAGCCCTCATTTACTGGGTCATACAGTTTAATGTTGCATGTTCCTCCAAATTCCTATGTCTTAAGAAAGAAGATAATGATAAAACCTGGAGAAAAAAAAAAAATACTCTGGAATATGTGTCAAAGAAACAGTAGAGTGATGTTCTCATTAAGAGCAGCAGAGTTACCTTAGGATTATTTTTGTAGACAGAACTTCTTGTTCTAGAACAGTGACCTCCGAGCCCTACTGCCACAGGCCAAAAGTGATGCCAAAAAAGGGAAAATACATTTATTGGAAAAAATACTGGTGCTAACCGAAAGGGAGGCTGGGGCTCACTTCGTTCGTGCGAGATGATAGCACTGGCTCCTCAGCTATGACCTGGGCTGAAAGTCAGAAAGGTAACATTGATTTCTCAGTTGTAAATTTAGCAGTGTTGAACTTGGCTGTAATTAGATAGGAAAAGTAGCAGTGATGATGGCATTCTTCCCTCTGATTTTTTAAGAATATTTAGTCACATAATGAATCACATGGGTACCTAGTATGATTTTCAAAAGGATTTAAGAAGGAATGGCTGCCTCAGCACTCCTTCACGATCCTATTCAGGACTTTTGATGCTGTCACTTCGGGCACATAAATACTTTACAAGAATCTAGCCCAAAGTTATAGTCACTGATGCCCTGCTGGATTAGCTTGGCTCCAAGCGTTCAGTTTTAGGTTACTGCTTTCCCTTGGTTCAAGGACAAAAGATACTGTGGTTAGAATACTGGGCTGTAACTCAGAAGATCCAGCTCTTGCTTCTGCTGTTGGGTTTTTGTGTTGTCCCAGACAAGCACTGGAACCCTGCTGGGCTCATGTCTCATGGGATGATAGCGTTTTTCTTCTAAGCTTTCTCTTGGCTTTGGGCAATTTGGAATAAGGGCTGTATGTTCCTGCCGAGCCTGTCTTGATGTGATCCTGACTTGACAGGAATGCTCCTGTCCTAAGTCTGGTGACAGCCTGCTGCTTCTGCTTCCTTTCATATCGTGTTGTCCCTTCCTTTGAGTTGCAGCCTTTTGGCTTCTTCTGTCTTGTCTTCCTAGTGTCGCAAACATTTAAGGGGAGAACAGTTTCTTACCTATATTTCAGTTGCACTGTGAACAGAATCTGGTTGGGTTTCTCTCCTCTGTTTGAACCAGAGGTTGGGCAGAACATCCCATAGCTCACGGGACTGGTTTCTAAGGTGCAGCACACACACAGGGCTGCGTTACTCTTACTCTCCAGTGTTGGGTTTTGTGGAGGCTGTTTCCTAGCTGCTTGATGGCATAATGCCAGGAGACAGAGCATCTTTGGTCATGTAACTCTTAAAAGAGTTTTACAGGATAAACGCGTTAGCAAATGACACAAGGCCTGAAACTACCAGTGTTGGCATGAGTTTGTATTTGTTGCCTTTGCATCTTTTTGGGATGTCCATAATATGTCATGGCATAGCTTGGCACAGATGTCCTAAGGGAGATGAAGTCTGTCACCTTGTGACCAGTGTCTCTGTGGACTGGCTTCGTGCTTTGGGTGGACTCAACAAGGTTCTCTGGCCTGGATGTCCCCAGGCTTCGGATGCCGATGTGATTTCCTGGTTAAGGGCAAAGGCGCCTCTGCCTCAGGAAGCCCGGTACCATGGGAATCTCTGCGTAAAGGCTGAGCTACCGCAGCTGTGAGTCAGACTCACTCTTCTCTGCTTTGATGCTCTCATACATGGAGCAGTTCCAAAGGTTTCAGTGTTCTCAGCCTTTCTGCTGTCCTACGCAGCCAGGGCTTGAAGCTGTGCCTAAAAAGGTGCTTGTTTTCCCTTGTATAGCAACCTTAAAGTGCTCAAGCCTCAATTTTGTGCTTGTTCAGGCTTTCAGAAGCACTTTTCAATGGCTGTTGGTGAGACTTATTGGAGTTTTCCTCAAAGACCTGAGCGCATTTACATCCTGGAGGAATTTCTCCAGGGCTTCGGTACGCTCCGTACTGCATCTGTTACCCTTTAGCTCTCGTTGCCAAGGCACCTGCGTTCTGTCAGGCTCATGGGCAGTACAACAAAGTAATTTCAATGCATTAAAGACAACACCATCATCTATTAAGTTTGGAATTACTGACCCAGCAAAGTTAATGTGGCAGAAGATACTATTTATAAGTGAATACCTCTGGGGTCTTTATGTCAAGGGAACAAAAGGAGTCATCGTAATACAGCCAGATACAGACTGGCAACCAGGATTTTCTCTGGCATCAACAGCCTTAACCTATAACTAATTTCTGAAATAAAAGGGTTGTGAAAGAAATAAGAGACTGGCAACTCACTCTGGACCATCCCAGTTTCTCCTCATGGCCTGCCTTATTACTTCTGTCCCCTGGGAACCATGGAAGCAAATAAAAAGGATGGAGAGAAATGTTCTGCACAAGCTGAAGGTCTCAGGCAAGCAGCAGGAGGAGAATCGCCACCAGTGTCCCTTGCTCAGTCACTCCCGAGCGCTGCGTGGCTTGCCTTGATGGGGAGCTAGGGAAAGGGGGCTGTCCTTGGGCAGTACGCAAGGAGCAGCGAGTAAAAGGAGAGGCTTTTCCCGTCTTTTCTAGAAGCATGAAATCCCGGGAGCAAAAATCCAGTCAAGATGGAAACTCTGCTGTGTGTTTCTTCAGGCTCAGATGTTGTGCATGTTTGTGACTACAAAAAATAACATCACTGAGTCATTTTGCCTGTTACAAAGCAAATTGCTTCTAAAAGCAACAAAGGATTCTGTGGCATTTTTTTGGACGGGCAGTAATCTTGGCTTGTCTTCTTGAATTTCCTTGGCAGATTTCATTAGGTCAATGGATTGTGTTCCTTCCCCCATTCTAAATACTTAGAATTGTGACTACATTCCATGACTGGATGAAACGATCACTACAAAGATGTCTGTGTCTACGTACTACTTAGTCATTTTTTCACATTGGAAGTAGTGTCAGTTATCCCAGATAAAGCACGGGTAATACTTCCAAAAGATGGCACGGTTGATGCAGGTGAACACGCATCACATAGCTCTATTCCATACTTGTCCTGAATTTTTTTTTTTTAAAATCTAGGTCCCAGTCTCGCAGCTGCCATACACAATGATTAGGACCATGGGGAAACCTCTGTTGGCTTAAACAGTGCTGAACAGGCACAAGTGTCTGCTTAGCCAGGGTTAAATCCCGTCTGCGTTGTAGTGCTACTTCAAACAAAACCGTGAGGGAAGATTTGCCCTGGCTGCTACAAAAAAGATAACAAAATAAACTGCTTAACAAAAGATAAGAAATAAACCGAACCTGGGTGGATGTGGTAGCTCTGAGTGCTGTTGTGCGTCTGGCACACATCGCACACAGGCAGGTCAGAAGCGAGGAGGTGTTGGCTCTGTGGGAGGACTGTTAGTCTTGTGACAGCAGGTCTTCTTTCAGCAGTCAGGCTGCCTTCAGCGGGGGCAGGCAGGTCCATAAGGCTATCTGTAGCCTGTTGTTTTGGCAAGTCTTGCCTTTTTTTTTTCATACCTTTTTTTCACCCTAACATTGTTAGCATGCAAAATTTATATTAAGCCGAGACTGTCTGCTGGATCTTTCCCCCAGTCATTTTGTGTTTTATGATTTAAACCACTTGAAACTGATGTTCCTGGTGCGTTTTTTTTGTTTGTTTGTTTTTGGTTTTTTTGGACAAGGGCAAGAGTCAACCCTAAAGTAAATGTAGGCACATTTGAGATAGCACCTGGTCTCAAAAACCATGACATTGTTGCATGTGTTTCTGTGTCCAGGAGTTTACAATATTAAGTTTCATTTGCCAAGTTCTGTGAGAGCAGTCGCAGTTCAAAGTTGCTGTGCTGTAGTATTATCAGTTTTAGTCTTCCAGCGCTAGAAGACCAAACAGCTATTTCGTTTTAAAACAGTCAGAGTAGAAATGATTGAACTTACTTTTCCTCAAGCTGCAGCTACTCATATTTTGGAGGGTCGGTTCCGTTGCCCAGATGACTGCCCCACCACTCGGCGGTATCAGGCAGATAGGGCAGAGGACCTGCGGAGAGACCCGTGACCTTCTGGAGCAAAACCTGGGGTGTCACAGGACATGTCGAAGTCATTTTTCCTTCAGTGCCACTAGCCGCTTCATAGGCTTTCACTGCATTGGCACTGGAAGAGTTGCTGGATGATACCTGCTGACTGTGCACTGGACATGCATGTTCACTTTGGTTTTTAAGATGATGGCAAGACTTGGATCCTACTTAGTGCTTAACTCTCTAAATCAGGTGTTTCACTTTCAAAAGCTCTGAGCATCTAGCAGTTTCTACGTAGTGCTCTTAAACTTCTGGGAAATTAAATAATATAGTCCCACAGCTAAAGACTTTTTTAAAAGTCTTCTTTTAAAGCTTTTTAAAAGCCTGCTGTTGTTGGCTACACCTTTCTGACAATCAAGAGTGAAGTATTTTGCGTGTGTGTGCACACTTGCACATAAGCTTGGCCACCCCCAGTGTTTTCCCTGTATGTCTATTTACTGGGCTACAAAACTGTTCATACCTTGGCACCAATAGAGCTGTATTAATTTCCGTCCCTCAGACTGAAAACACTCTGCTAAAGTGCCTGAAGCTAATCTAGTGGTAGGATGCAGACATCTGTAATTGCGGACCAAACAGTTGGAAACAGGTGGGGAGGAAAAAAACCAGCAAAATATGGCTGGAACTGGAGATTGAGTACTTCTAAAAATAATTTTAGGCAAGCATGTTTCGTGTATGTTCGTTATTGTGGCGTATACACCCAGATTGGTCTTCCTGGCAAATGCACAAGTAGTTTAAGGATTGCAGGGAAGAACATTTTGAACACAGTAGGACAACACGGCGGTTAATTGCTGTATGTTGCATCTTGACTCACAGAAAGTGAATGTTGGCTTAGACTAAAACGAAGAGAAAAAAAAACCTAACGTACTTGTGGTGTGTACAGTACCATATCTGTAATCTAAGTGATGGATTTTCCTTTCAGAATAATCAATGCATTCCAGCTGGGTTGGAAAACTACTACTCTGAACAAGACTCCAGTGCTCGAGGGAAATTTTACACAGTCATAAACCACTACAACCTGGCCAAACAAACCATCACGCGCTCAGTGTCCCCGTGGATGACAGTACTGTCAGAAGAGAAACTATCTGAACAGGAGACGGAAGCCGCTGAGAAATCAGCTTAGTATGATAAGCTAATTATTAACACTATGTCACTTGAAGGTAACTAAGGGACTTTAAGGAACTTTTCATTAAATATAATTATGGATAATTTAGAGATTACTCATGTTTATGGTGCAATTGCTTCTGTTTGCTGATACTGCTTTGCAAAAAAAAAAAAAAAAAAGAGAGAACAAAAACTTGCTGCAGAACACTCATGGGCATAAGCCAAGGTGCATATCAGCATTGCTTTAGAGCTTTGACACCATTTTCAATGTTAAAAAAAATCCAATGTTAGAGATGTTCTTGCAGTTTATTGGATACTGACAGATTTCTTCGCCGGATTTTCAGGGCTCGGACCTTAGATAAATCACGTGTTCTGTTGTCTAACTGATACTTTATTTATTAACTTCTTTTCTTCTTTGTCATTTTGCAAACTGAAACACCTCAGCCATAACTAGAGTGATCTCTTGTTTAGCTGAAAGCTATATTTAATATTTAGTTTTGGCTCAAGAAAGAATGATAGCATTGATGTGTCAAGGGCATAATGTAATGACTTGTATGGAGAAGGGTAGCATTTTTCTTACATTTTCTTTACTGTTGTTTATTTGTAAGTGATAATGAAGTTCTCTGCAACAAGGCATGCTCAATGTTTTATTATTGCTGTCGACAGGATTTAACTGCATTTCCACTGTGGCTTTAGCATCTTGGTAAGGATAGCACTGAACCACAAACTAGATAGGCGTTACGGAAAAACACGGACAGTTTTAGTGATGGATGTTGAGGGTAGTGTAAAAAAATACACAGTTCAGGATGTTCTCATGAGAAATGACATCTGTTGATCATACTTAAGAGGCAGAAAGCCTATTCACAGTAGATGTAGTCCACTCTGTAATTTGTTGGATATGACAGAGGGAGTAATATGTCTAAGTTTTCTCTTTTATTACATTAACATTTTCCCTTTTTATTCATTAGAAAGAGCTTTCGGTTTGTGGATCGTTTGCAGTTTGCTCCTTTCAAAAACACAGAGCATCACAAGTGAAACAATAGCGTATTAGCTAACACAGCTGGCTGTTTTAAAGCTCCATGTGCAACTGAGTGAAGAGTAGAACTGTTTATGTATGGCTTGGGAGGGGAAAAGATGTAGAAGAACATAGTATTGTGGATGCACGTTACAGTTCCATTGTAATTACAAACTTATCTATTCTTTGTGTGAAGCCATGTTTTCATTTTTATTATAAATCTTAAATATATATTACAAAAAAGACATCTTATTAATTGAACAGTTAGACAAAATAAGTGTGTGAAGCATCTGGGCAAGCATGTCCCCTTTTTTGTTCACGTAACTTGAATGGGACAAGTAGTGGACATGTCAAAAGTTTCTTTTTTTTTGGTACAGAAGATACAAAAATGCAGGGAAACCATTGGTACAGGCTGTTTCTCAAAATCTGTAGTAGAACAAACATGGCCAGCTCTACTTTTATTTTTTCTGCAGTAGAATTGCTTTATCAACAATACAGGAAAAATGACCATTACTACTTAATTATCTAGGTTCGATATGAAATGTGCATTACACAGTAATATCTGTGAAAGGCTTTTTATGAAGTCATTATGGTGTGTGGAATGCATAAAAAGCAATAAATTCTGTGCCAAATTTTTCTTTGCATTTAAAAATTTCAAGCTTATGCTAAGATACCCCAAAACAGACCATGTTTGCGTTTTCCAACAGGCATGTGCTTTATTGAGTGCAATTAATTCAGATGTAACTTTTGACATTTTCACTCTGTGCGGAGCAGAGAATAAGGATGCCGCTGCTTGCTGCGTATAATGTAGAGAAATATACATTTCTGAAGAGAGAGAGCAAAACACACATTTCATATCAACATATTTACAAAGGACACGCAGATTTTACAAGATGGAAAGATCCCTTCCCCGAGCCTGTCTGACACAGAAGCGATTCATGATACATCTCCTCCCCTTAAATTTAGGACAATAAAAACTTGACTACACAAGTGAATACTGACGAGAAACAACTTATTTCTCTCTCTCATAACAATAAACATTAAAAACCACTAAGCTTTACGATCTAGGAGAAACAGATTGCTTATGCTTCTTGAAGTCAAAACCATTTTTTTCCTCTGATTTAACAGGAGGGAGTTTATTGATTTGTATTTACAGTTGGTTTTGAGACTTTTTTTTTTATGCTAACAAATTGCTCCCAATTTTCAGTACTTTGAAGAGTTTGGCATTAATATTGGCTATCCTTTGGCTTTGTTCCAACATCCCAGAACATCTCTTTCACTGCACAATCTGTTTGTCTTGTATTCTCTCTTTTCACCTAGAAGTAAAGCTCTTTAGTTGACTTTTTATCACGATTATTAAATCAACCTGATCTCTTGACTGGAGCAGTTTCAAAGGATTAGAAGTAGAGGTCATACATGTGCAAAACGATCACTGTGTACTGGAGTGGTACGATTAAATAAAAGCCTGAGACAGCGTAGATGCTTTTGCCCAGTCACGGTTTTCTCTTGATCTGGTCTGCAGACGGGGAGCTGGACGTCAAACATCACAGACGGGTGGGTGACTGTGATAAAACCGTTACCGGGTTTTTCCTTCTGTTAGCTCTGCTCCAGCTCGCAGCTTTCTTACCAGCTCTTTCAAAGGTTTCTGTGTTCGCAGGATTAAGCGTGGTTTTATGTTCGACAGAGGGATTTAAAATGAATGCTATCCGCTCCCTCTGCCCTAACAGATCTATACACATGCTTATTTATTGGAGAATATTTCCATCATAGCAGGATGAAAAAATGCATGAAGCATACAGGTATGCCACATACCCCGCTCCATTGGACAAAATGTCAAAAGTTTTACAGACAAAGCATGTAGGCAGTATTATGTTATTACTTAATTATCATACCAGTCCAGGAAAAGCAAGGAAAACGAACACATCACAAGGAAGAACAGGATCCATACTCTAAATCCAGCGTTGTTTTTGATGTCCATCACCAGTAAACGTACAGTACGATTTCAGCAGTGGCAACCCAAGATGCCTGTTAGCGGCTTCGCTCCTCCCTCCCACAAGAGAAAGAACAAAACCCACCCTTAGTTTCAGGTGAAGAAAAGTCAGGTTGGCTAGCTCTCTTGAGGTTTATCACTAAAGTTTCTCTCAAAAATGTTAAAATTGGTCATTTAAAAAAAATAAAGCCAACAAAAACTTTGCAAGATCCCACACAGTGGAAATACGCCCAAAACATTAAGAACTACGCCAAAACGTACCTGCTTCAAGGTTAGCTTTAAGTTCCAAAACCAAAATTCTGTGATTAGAAATAATCAGGCCTTCACCATTCTGATAAACATCTTCCGACTTAAAAACCAAACCCAAAACCTGTCAACTGTTTCTGGAGAGTGACTGAGCCCTGTCAGTCACGGGTTTCAGTCTCAGAACAAGCAGAGCAAGGAGCAAGTATTGCACGGATTTTTCTTGGATTCTCCTGCCCAAAACTGAGACAGGCGTATAGCAGGGGACCTGGTTTTCTCTCATTTTTCAGATTTACCCAGGGAATAGATTTTTTTTTAATGTGATGATACAAACATTAATGTGGCTGACGAAGTTTTTATTTATCACCTTTTTCTACTGTTTCTCAGTGTGGTTTAGGAAACTTAGTTCTACCTACAAATGTGAAAAACGAAGCAAAAATAACTTCCGTTCATGCTGGGGTGTTGAATGCTGATCTCGAACTCGGGGCACGGGGACCATCAGCTGACATCTCTCTACCCTCCCCAAGCGGCCTAGCTGAAGTGCTTAAGAATGACGATTTAAAAGCATAGTAACTGAATCCTAAATATTAGTAAATCTATTGATTCAATGCACGTCTTTAAAAAAAGCCAAATGTCTTCCCCGCCACGGGCCGCACCACCATGCCTGTCGGACAGCTACTGAAAAGCTACTGAACACGCCAGGTATTCTACTCTACTTGCAGTGATGTGTAAATCAGTTCCAAATCAGAACTTTCAAGTCCCTAAGTTACACTTGCTAACGTACATTTGATGCACTTTTCGGGAGAGCCGAGCAGTCAGTAACTCATCCTGGAGTGACGCGCTCTGCGCGCTTTCAGGAGGGAGACAAAAAAGAACCGAGCCATTTACTCAGTGGCCTAAGTTAGGAACTCTGTTTTTACTGAAATCTCAGTTCCTGAAAGAAAACATCATTTCATTCTAATTAGTAAGACAAGGGGATGGATTTCTGTACTAGGAGCATGTGAGACGTGTTCAGTGTGGCAAGGAGACTCTTCTGCTAACGCTCAGCATTTAACTCCGGTTTCAACAATTTCAGCACCGTCTTTTATTCTTAGTCTGCAGTCTCTCCCCTCCCCCCCAGGCTTTTTTTTTAAAAAAAAAAAACTTCATGGGTGTGTAAATGCACGCCAGGTGACCTTCAAGGGTAAAAACTAGATGAGGCCAAGTAGATTTCTGCCGAGCTGTACAGCTGTGCAGATCACGGTTAGCCGGACAAGCAGCGCGAACCATGAACCTTCGCTAACTTGCGCCATTTTTCCAGCCTCGTGGCCCGACACCCCAAGACACCCGCACCGCTACCGCGGGTGAGCTCGCACCTGCTGCTTAAAGCAGCACTCGGCAAAACTGAGAGTTCAGAGAAACAAGCGAGTTGTTTAAAACACAACTTAGACATTACCTCTCGTATGTCTTCGTTGCCTTCTTTGATATTCTCCGTTGCACCCACAACTAATTGATGGATATTGTCAATATCTGTTTCCTGTGGAAAAAAAAAAAAATTGAGAAACAGCGATGAATTTTAGGAAAAAAAAACACTTCCAAGGATTTGGAGAACAAGCAGAACTCAAATACAAAATAAAATCTGGTATTATTAACATCTTAGTTTCAATGATGCAAAGGTACAGAGGCAATTAAGTTGTAACTTCTTTACCTGTGATTTTACGAGCCTGAACGGAGACCAGCAGGATCAACAGGAAGCCTCCCGTTTATCTGGGATGAAATCTAACCTGCCTCATTTTTGCCGGCTCGTTTGGAAGAGGTACCACCATTTCCAGAAAAGATGCTATTGAATAACACATTTAACAGGACACTGCTGCTGAGGCAGAGGGATCACTCTCACACATATGCTGCATTTTCCATTCCCGGTACGTACTAATAAGTAACTACAGTAAATACCTCGATTTTGCATATGAAAAACAAACAAAAATCTTTCCCTTCACATTTGCGTCAAGGATTCATTCATCTTATGTTTACATCTTGCATGTGACCAAGACCAAAATACCCCCCGGAAAATCTTCAGGCTGTATTTGCTGCTGGAGTATGACATTGTACTAACCTGCTGCAAGACTTTTTCCGTGAATATCTCTTGTAATCTGGAGATTTCCACCACTCTTCCTTCAATTTGTCTTGGCAAAGAACAGAAATACTCCGTTAGAAACTAGTGCAAACATGTCTCGCTCCTGCAGATTCAGATTCCCCATCCCGGTAACGGGCTGTGAAGGGGCACGGCTGTTTTGTTGGCCGTCCGTCAGGCAGCAGTAGCCTGCGATCGGTGCTCTGGCGATTCCTGGTGGGAAGAGGAGCAGCCCGCAGGGAGGCACTGGGACAGGCACCGCCCGAACTCAGGCAGCAGCCTTCGCTGCGAGACTTTCACCCGTCTTCCTTCTTTCAGCTCACACAACAAAACCCCCGCTGGACCCCACGTAGTTAATTCTGACATACCCTTTTTATATGCTACTATGGAGCGTGGAATCCGCCTTGCCTAGTCCTAATAATCCAAAAGTGCAGTTGTAGCTTGAGCTCGCCATTCGGGCCTCTGCACAGCAAGCGGAGAGCCGACGGCGCGGCCGCTCTGCCGTAAGCACAGCTGCGCGTGGGGGCAGCGACTGCGCCTCCGCTACGGCTCTCTGTGCGTGCAGCGGGCAACGGGATACGAACGGAAAACCTCATCTTTTAAAACTTAGATAAGCGAGATAGAACGTAAACCTTCCAAATTGAACCGGTACTCTTCTGGATAGTTTGTGTGTCACTCAGGACCGTTCTTTACACTGCGGGACATGGCAGTGTGTAAACTCCTACAGGTCGTTTCCCGGGCACTCCTATTTCGTCCCTCCTTCCAGCACACCGCTGCAATTCACGCAGCCGGGTGTCCTGCGGCAAATTCACTGTGTGGGGGTGTTGTCCGGGTGATGGGACCGGCGTGCCCAGCACTCTGTCCAGGAACAGAAAACTGTACCTGACTTCATCGAAGAGATTATTCATTTCACCAACAAGTCTCTGGTTCTCCTGTTCAAACTGGAAGAAGGAAATCGCACACATGAGTTCACGTGCCTGCGCCCCGGGACTGTCTTCAACCCCCACCCCGATCAACCAACTTCCACCCTTCCTCGCAATCTATGTACAACGTGTCTCAACTGAAAAGATCTTCAAGAATTACTAACGCTGGCCTAAACGAACAATATGAATCTGCCTGTTTGTAAGCAGCCGCTGTAACACTTGTCCTGCTCCTCACATTAATGAAACAAACCTCAAAATAACTTGGAAGATTTTGTTCAAGTTACTTTGCAGTAAGGAAAAATATAGTGGATGAAATCTGTCCTTTTTATTATTTTAGAAATTTGAGTGGGGAAAGCTTTCATGCTTGTGAAAGCATGTGATTCTCTTCATGATATCTTTGCGCTGTCATTCACATTATTCATGCACTGCCCATGGCATGAAGTTAAGAGCTTTCAGATTTTGCTACAGTATTTTTTGACATCTAGTACTTCATACTTTACAAATGCCTTGGCTTTAGTTATTCCAGCAGACCCCTTCCATTTAAAACCCATGAGTAATCAATGAAACATTTAAATATACTTATAGCACCACATTTTTCAAAATACAAGCACAAATAGAAGACTTTATACAGGAAAATAAGCTTTGACTTTTTAGATGTACTTGACAGATCATTTGGGATGCACTACAGGAGAAATGATCGTGCAGCAAGTACGATGACACGATTTGCCGAAACAAAATCAGCACAGCCAAAACACAGCCGAGAAAGGTACCCCGTGTCGTAGCGGAGTTTGTTGGAAACTGCGTTGTAAGGACTGGGTTGTAGAAAGAAGCCGTTAGGACAGACCGAGCTGGGATTTTCAGGGCGCCCGAAGGAGTTGGACCTTGCAGTCCAGCAGCAGCTACGGCTGGCTGAGAGCCCGGGGAGGCCTGCGGGCCGCCCCCTGCCCCGCGGCCGCTGGGAGCCCGGGGCAGGTCCCGCTGGGAGCCCGGCAGGACGCGCTCGGGGAGCCCGGCGGGACGCACTGGGGGAGCCCCACGGCCTGCCCCAGCCGAAAGGCTCCTGCCGTCGGGGACAGCAGAGCACCTCGCATCGGAAGGGTCACAAGTCCCCTGTCGGGCGAAGGAGGGGAAGCCTGTTCAGGGTTTTCTGCCCATTAATTCCACATGACCAAAGCCTCGGTAACAGCTGGACCTTGCGGCATGGACACAACTGACTCGATCTTTGCGCTTTTCTCACAAAGCTGGGAAAGACCTGGTCTACGCGGTTATACAGAAATAGCACACGGGATATACGTTTCTACTGAAAACATGACCTGCCACGCGCCTCTGACAAAGCTGAGCGATACATGATGCAGCAGTAATACCAGAAAACGGGATTCGGAGTGCAAGGAATCTGATGCGGGAGCCCTGCAAGAGAGCAAGGCCTGTTCTGGTTCAGTTCATCTCCTGATTTTGAACTAGCCTACACAACACACTGGGATTTTGGCATAATTCATCCACGTTACAATTCCATTAGCCGTAAAAGCGCGGCAGTCCTCTCGGCCACCTTGCAAGGTCTCATTATGTTTTCTAAGACAGAGCAGCGTGTTGTTGAAGATGAAAGCGCCAACAGAGCGGCACTGCTTACAGGTCAGACCTGGTTTTCAGGCGGTGCAAAAAGAATTGCTCGCTGCCTGAGCATATGCCCAACACTTAAGCTTGCAAGAAAAGGAGGTGTTGTCCAGAGAAGATAGTCAGTATCTGAAAACAACTATCATCTTGTGCAAAAAGTAAAAGAAGGAAAGAGAGGGGAAAAAGTCTGAATCACAGAGAATTATGATAACAGTCAGGGTCATGTTACATCGGTGGAAGGCAAATGGGCCTTTTGCTTTTAGAGCAGCGCTACCGAAATAGCTGAAAATGAAGCACTTAGTATTTCAAAGTAGTTTAAACAACACCACAGTTCATCATTAAGATGCAACGTGAAAATTAGTGGCTATAACATGGCATACAGTTCATCTGACCTATAGCTTCTTTCACAGGGCCAGTCGTAGGAGTTCGTAAATTTAACATTATTACGCCGCTACGTTTGGTGACGATCTCTGGCTCACCACTGTGACCCCCGCCCTGCCCCAGTCACGCCACCAGCACCTCTGTCCCAGGTCTTTCAAGATTTTCCTTACACAGCTTGTGCAACTCCTCGTGCACGTTGCTTCAGACGCCGATGCGTGCATCCCTTGAAATGACCCAGAATGTTCCAGCTGAAACTTGTGCCGTATCAAGTACTTTCATAACACTACCCCAGAGAAGTGACCCTTCCCACGCCCCACACCATCGCCACTGTCCCCCCCACTTTGTGCTGTAACATGTTTCATCTTGCTTCAGGCCCACCAGGACCTCGGAGAAACAGCACCTGACTCTGCCAACAGCAAATTAAATGTCAAGGTGCATGGCTTAGGGGGAAATGGTTACTGTGTTAAAAATCAGAAATTCGTAGGTTAATTTGGCAGAAGTGAGTGTGACAGGGCAGGTACGTTTAAAGAAGGGTAACAGTGAATCTCATAGAAAGAGGTTGTCTTCCGACATTGGCAACCTATGTCATGAAGAATAATGAAAAATGATCTTTTATTTCTTTTAAAATACAAATTTCATTTTGCACTAGAGGTTCATAATCTGCCCAATTGGCAAGAACAGCTTTCTCTCCTTGGCTAAAGGACCCCAGAGTCCACGATCACAGACGAGGAGGAGGGCTGTCGGGCACTGTCACCTTCCCTGCGGGGTCGAGGCCTCGGGGACGGAGCCCGGCCCCCAGGGTTGAGGGGGAGCAGAGAGGAACATACTGCACAGCTCCCTGAAGTCCCACTGATTTCCACCCTAAAGATCCAATGGTTTTGTTAAATAAAAAAGTATCAGTGTTGCAATACATTCAAATGTCATTGCCACTGCTGTCTGTAGCGTCTCCTTCCACGGAGCACTTGTTAAAATAGCATTGACTAATACAGTGATATTGACTTTACAGCAGCGGACGGTTAAAGGTGTTTCATCACTGCACTCCTTTGCGTTCACACCACTGTACGTCTCTGATTTTAGTGGAGTCACCTCAGAACAAAGCCCAGGAACACAGTAATGAAATAGAGCCACGAGATCTAGCACCGAGTCGACTGACTGGTCCTTACGTGACTAAATGGGGCCAGCAAGCTGTAATTGTTTTTCTGACTTCTGTAAGGATAAGTATTTCTGCACAAATATTCAGTATCAAAACTTCTCTATTTTGCTGCCTTAGTGAAACTGAGACGATAACTAATTTAGAAGGCAAATTTTCAATAAAGAAACAGTGAATGATTTTAATCCCTTACAAATAGCACAAATCCACTTGAGAAAGTATTCTTTAAGAAGTCCCTTTGATATTTAAAACCCTCCACTGGCACAGATTGCCTTTCAAACTCCTAAATGATCTGTGCAATTTGAAATCATGGCTGATGGACTGCTTGGCGCAGACAGCAGTAAGATATGCAAAAAACAGTCAATTGAACAAAAGGTTAGCGCGCAGAACACGTCACGTACCAGTGTGTCACAGAGGGATTTACATGATGGGAACATAAACCAAACTCTAGCGATCAGTATAGCTCAATGATTTATGGCTTATTAAAGTAGCCTCTTTTATGACAGTGAAATATTCTGTTCCCTAAGTATGGCATAAAGTGGCAAACTGCTTAAGATATGTCTAAAAATCTAAGGCATAGCATAATCACAGTTCTTTTTTGTCATCCCGTGAGATAAGTCATTATATGTATTGTATCTGAATTTAAGACAAAAACAAACAAAAAAGATAAAGTCAGGGAAAATCAGATATCTTCACAACTCAAACAGCAGAGCCAGATTTTTTTCCTCACTCAATGCAACCACAAGACATCTGCTCACAATAACCATAAAAACCATTAGTATACCTGTACTCAGGGTTATACACTGAAATTTATTGTGCAAATCATACAATAGCCTGCAACCATTTTGAACAATGTAAAGCTCTCTCCTGTGGGTAAAATACGGATAGAAATTGCTGCTGTAGCAATATGATAGGGCTCTAATTCATTATTTTACCCACAGGAAGGCTCAGAGAACCATGACTGAGAATTGTTAAGTACGATTTGACACAACACATTCCAATTTAAAACCAACACAGAGCAGTTTCTACACTGTAACCTACCCTCTTCTGAGAACTGCTGGATTTTCTGAGTAACTGAAATGCAGTTCGTCCACGCTTCACTAATCAAATGTTCAAAAAGTAGAAATTAACTTCTCTGTAACAGCAAACATAATGCAGAGGAGAAGTAATTAACTGTCCTGTGAGTGAATAAATTAACTAAAGCTGTGAGGTTTGTTACGTGTTTGTAAAGACCCTTTGATTCTTGCATTAAAAGCACAATGAAGTCATTAAATATTGCCAAGTTAGCATGGAGGATTTGTGCGAGCAATGAAAAAAGCAATGCACATTCAAATACTCAAATTATTTCCTAGTTACACCTGTATTTACATCTTGGGCCCAAATTTACCTGAAAATTAGAATAGTGGATCCAGTGACTTTAAAGTCTGTTAGGAGTGAAATTATACAGTATTCAAGTTTTACTAATAAAGGCCAAATCTTGGCTATAAGTTTCCTCAAAAACACACCAAAAGACCAGTTTTGCTGTGGAATAATCACCACGTACATCCCTAGCCTTTGTAAATTAGATAATTATAGTGTTCATAAAATGAAAAACACCCCAAGCCCTAAAAAAAGAAAAAAAAAATCACATTAGGTCCACAGAACAGAGAGATGGCTTGCTCAGCTTGTGCTGAGTTGATAAACTTAAAGCCGAGATCTAAAGTTTCCGGCACAAGTCGTTTTTCTAGGCTAAACCATGGCACTGACATCAAGGCACTGTTACATACTATAAATTTTCTTGCAAACTATAGGCAGAACTGTGTAAGCTAAGAAAAAGGACATATTCTGGTCTGTCTGAGCTAAAAGTTCATTTAATTTGGAGCATCAGTGTTATTTCTATACCCCTTTTCACAGGAAGAACTGTGCAACTCTTGAAAGCACAACAGAAGTAAATCAGTGTAAAATAACCAGTAAAAGTTTAAAAAAAATATAGAATAATAATAAAAAAGCATAGCACAGGAGAGCTCTGAGTGGGTAAAGAATAATAATGGATTTTTAAAAAATGTCTGTTGGTTCTCCTCTAGGAAGAGCTGCCCAAATGCCTAATAAGAAGCAGTTTAGGATTGGAGATTCAGGAGCCTAGAAATCCTTCAAAGCGTTAAACCATGAACGTAGATTTTTCTCTTACTTAGGCCTGGAATCACTCCCCCTCACAAGTCAATAAAGAGAACTTATTCCGGGGAAAAATTCAAATCCTTGGTGGCAAAAATCAGCGTTTTAAGTTGTTTATCTTTCTTCAGTCTTGATAACAGAAAGAGAACAAAACTCACAGACTTCAGCAACTCATCTAAGTCGTGAGGTATCTGGGGCCTTACTCTAAAAAGTATAAAAGGATTTCATGAGAAAGAAATGCATTTATTCCCAAAGTACCGTGGCAAGGGATGTAACATGTTTAAAACTTAATTACAGTGTGAGGCCTACACAAAGCAATCCAACATTTAGCAGTCAGTTATTAGTAAGCCCTGTCAGAGCCATCACCTCTGATGCCTGTTTCCTCCCGATCCTCTGGAAGCTTACAGCAAGGGGGCTAAAAATATTGTGCCTAAACACAATTCTCTTTAAAAAGAAAACAGAAAGCAGGAGTAAGCCTTTAGATTTCAGACTGGCACTCAAGAACAATAGGAGAGCATCACGAGCGGCCTCTGAAGAACCTTTTCTCTTTGACAAACCATACCATAATTATGTGCAACTTACTCATCTCTGACGGGAAGAGTGATGCAAATCGTGTTTGGGAACACCTCTAATCTCTGCCAAGGAAGTTTCACATATTCATACTGCAGCAGCCCTTTGCCTTAGTAAAGCTCACCATTTTGAAAACTGCACATCTACTGGCTAGTTATAAATCAGTTTTTCTTTCTTTATATAAAAAAAGGCAATGTGTGCTAATGTAGAGAGGTTTTCTAAGAATTTTGAGCCATGTTCAAAACACTAAATTTTAGGAATATCAAAAAATCTAACAGGTTGTGAGCAATCATGCCTATGTCAGAAATTTTGTAGTTCAACTGTAAGCAGAATTGGATCAAACAATATATAAACATGCTAACAACAGGGACATGCAGAAAAGGTAAAATTCATGAGATTCTGTTGCGACAGAAAGCTTGTAGCTATTCCTTCTAGTAAACCAGTCTGATTTTGATAATCCAAAAAAATAAAATGGAATAAAATGAACTTATACTTAAATAGCACAACTATTTAAGGTGTGTTCTAGAAATAGTCCAAGTAAAAAAAACAGATAACACTTTATTCTTTCAGAAGTTTCATAATGCTTTTTCTGATGTTGTCTTGACTTTTATTGTTTCCTGATTTAAAAATAAATTCATAATTGTAATTTTAAAAACAATTTTCATTTCAATTGTTGAAAAATAGTTGTTACTAATTTCATGGCTCCATGTAAGTATTTTGTGGCAATTGTAAATATTAGCTGCTACCAGAAGAACCAGGAGGCCACGTGCAAAAGGTGTATCTTGTTATGGCATTATTCTGCATCAAATGAAAGCAGAAAATGAATTCGTGTGAATCTGTACTTTCTTAACATGTATGAATACAGCAGAAAATAGAACAAAATGGACAATAAGACACAAGATATACTTACCATTTGTATTTCTTCAGGTGACAGCTCATCTTCACCTTTGCCATCCCCCCATAATCCAAGGTTACTTTGGGCATCAGGCAGATTCCTGTCTGTAAAAGGACCATCAAAACCACTTCATACCATGCAGGACCCTGAATAGTGAAGTGAAAATCATTTTTCATCCATTTCAGAACCCTGATGAAATTGTTATAGCTCATTTGTCATTAACTGAGATTCACCCTGTATTTACAGCACAAAATTACACTAATAACCTTTATTTAACTTCTAAACTGGGACAAAAGTATACGCGTATGTTTAATTTGGTGAACTACAAGGAGTTGCACTAATATATAAAACAACTCACAATGCACTAAGACTCATTAGGGCACAAAATACTGTAGCATTTCTTTTAACAGAAGAAACTACACAATTTTCAAAATGACAGTCTATATGTGAACTATTATCTTCCAATGGGACTTGACAGAACCACCAGCTCCTCATTCCAAAAAGTAAAAAGAGAATCTCAAAGACATTTTGAGCAAAGTTCACAGGACAAACTCGATTTCCTCACGCTGCTCAAACTGCATACTACAGCGCAAGTCCTACAGCATGCTGCGCAAGGGGTCTTCCTGCATATAAAAGGAATCCGATGCGATCCCACAAACCAACCCTTACACACCATAGCTGCTTCACTGATTTCAATAGTACTTCCTCTTTGATTAAAGCTAATCATCTGCATAAATCTTAGCAGGAGTTGGGTGTGAAAGATCTTGAACGGCTATTTCTAGGATATTCCCTTCTGGAAGATTTATTTTTAGGCTTAATTATATACTTCTGATTATAGATGAAGAAGTTAGAATGGGAGACAAAAGAAACTATGCCACAGGAGCCTACTGTTTCTGAAGCTGTTCTAGCATCAGTGTTTAAAATCCTAGCGATAAAACCGCACTCTTGAGAGGGCCTCTCTTCTCCCCACTGGCTGTGACATTTTTACAAAACCCAAAAGAGAGATTTGCGCCACCCCACAATGGATCAAAGCTGAACCTCCTTTGACTTACCAGATGCAGGTTGCAAATTAAAAATACGGAAAGATTTAGTTTTTACTTTTTCATAGATTTCAGACTTCCTATTTATCCCAGTCAGTTTTTTCAGGCATGTATAAGTATTTTAATTTGTTCTGTTATAACCTTCTAAACCCAATTTTTTTCAATTGCATAGGCAGCACTGATGCATCGTCATTCAGATACTGACTTCTCTTGGGAAGCCTCTGACAGGAATAATCCTATTTATAAACAAACATATGAAAAAAGATTATAAGCAGAAATTTTCCCCTTTATTCTTCATTATAATATTTGTGAAAACTCTTAAAACATAAATATTATAAAAGAGCATTCTTCTGTATGTTTCCTTTACAAATGTATATTTTGCTTCCTAACAACCAAACCAGGATGAATAAACAAAGACAATGTTACAAACAAGGGACGTGGATAAGGAATAAAGAAAATGAAAAAACCAAAAAACAAAAAAACCAAACACACCACCAAAACAAAAATAGACCTGTTCTTTCTTACAAGTAATAGGAAATAAAACCAAGAGTATCTTTAAAGATCGTTTAGGAAGGATTCAACTCTGTGTTTTCCATGGGGTATCATCAGTATTTCAAGTCTGTTTCACAGAAACACAAAACTTATTTGTTTAGGTAATCGACGTATTTACATTATATGGATTCAAAGAAAAGAAGATAATTAGTTTACGGAGCCAAGAAATATGATATATCCCTATTTTATCCCAGAGAAACCAATTACTTTCAGGCACTGTCAGGACTGTTTAAAAAACCAGCACCTGTATCCAGAGTGATTGCTAATAAGCAAATATACTTTTGGTAAGATGTGAGAAACACGTATCTCCCCAGGGTTCCTCCTGTCACTGCGGTATGCTTCTGGCTACTGGGAAAGTTGTGCTGCAGCTTTCATGGAGCTGACATTACTGCTTTGCTACAATTCACCCAGCAAAAGCCAAACTACATTCCTTTGCGGAAAGGGAAGTAGTTAATGCACGATGGAGGTACAAAGGATCAAATCCTCTGAACCCTTTTCCATGCTGAAAGGAGACAGCTGCTAAGCTTGTGGACCAGTTCAAAAGCTACTCATTTAGTTATATCTGTAAAGCAAATGTCAAATTTGTAATATGCAAATAAATACTGTCAGCATATAAAAGCAATCTCCAGAGAGACTATTTTCCTACCATGAGGCATGTCCACTATAATTCTAATGTAAACAGGTGCTCTGCCTCAAAACAAAAGTAATTGCATTTTGCTTTCGTTTCTGCCAAAAACCCAGACAAAACCCAAGTTGTGCTTCAGCACGCCAAGCAGGACATTCAGCTGTTCATCATAACGTTCAATTTAAGGACAGGACCACAAGCTGCTCTCAGAAGAACTATCTTTAAGGTGAGAAAAAAAATTGTGAAAAAAAATTATCAAAGGCTACAAGATTTAAATTGAGCTTCTTGTTTCCTAGTCATCTTGTTCATGCTATTCCCATGCTTCGACAACTACCTACCAGCAAAGTCAAGGCTGATTTCTATAAGCAGCAGGAACCAACACTTACACTTATGTGAGGAATCACAGGCTGTGTGCATTTACAAACTGTTTAAGACTGATTTATTTTGATACACAAGTTTCATAGTTTTCTCACAGACTAGTCAGCAATTCCTCATAAGTACTGCATCAGCATCACTTATGTGACGGGATCCCTACTTGCTTATACAAAATTAAAACATAAACTAATAAAAGTGAAAACTGGAGTAATCAAAATTATCGTGCAAGAAACAAAGCTTCATTTCTGTTTATTGCAGTGGTTTGCTGTGTCCAAGGCAACCAAAGAACAGCATTTTCCACGGTGTGGCACAGATCTTTGGAGCTCAAAATTGTAATGACACTATGTGGTGGGAGTGCACACTTTCAGAGATTGCGGAGACATTCAGTAACAAGGAATGAGCACAGGGCAATGAAGATGCTGCTACACTGCTGCTTCTCTGCTGGCACTAGCTCACAGCTGCGGAACACTGATAACGCGTTAAGGTGAAACTCATCTACGTGCCTGTGTGCTGCATCACTTAAGACATACTATAAAAACGTAGTAAGCACTAGAAATGACACATAATCAAAACCTTTACTTCTTACAATAAATTCAGTGTCAGGGGAGGAAAAAAAAAAGGCATACCGATAGGGCTGCAGAAGCACAAACTGGTTAGGAAGATAAGCAATGCCATATCAGAAAATGAAACCATGCGCACACTGTGAGGTAATTCAGTATTAAGAGTCTTCATCCAGAAATGGAGTACCCACTTCACATGAATCCACCATTTGTATGGCCTTAAAGTCACCAACCAGAGGAACTGTACTCTTTTAATAAAAATCACCAAAGAAACAATAACTGATTATCAGAATAATATGGCCATCCAGTGCATTTCTTCTATCTTGATGAAGTATTATGCTAATGCAATGTCACACTTCATACAGTTTCTGTTTATCTCCAAAAATAATTTTCATGCTGTAAATCACAGGGTACCTTGGACTCCTCTAGACAGCACAAGCAGGAGAACTCAAGCCAGGGAGAGCAACTCCAGAATCACAGAAACAAGATTTCTCTTTACATATGCAACCTAAAATTATTTGTACAGTGGTGGTACTCCAAAAGGCATTCTGCAATGAAATTCTGCCAGCGTACACATCCTAGGACAGACCGAAACAGCTAAGAGAGGGGCTTTACATTCCCCGGCCTTAGAAGCAGGCCACTAAGAAGCATTATTCACAAGCTCTGTCAAGAATAGCGCCAGCTGAAACGACCCTGGGGTCAGAGATACTGCTTTGGACTTCTGGCTACCTCCTGTCCACCAAAAGATGAGATGCAATCCTTCCAGCAGGGAAGCTCAATGCTGTGGAGAACATCATCCCCAAAACTGCTGGATCTGGCCAGCCAGTAACCTCCCCTCTATGAGCATACTCTACCTTCGAGTTCCTACTGTAGAGATGTCCAACTCAAGGTCTCTGTGCTTAAAAACTAGAAAATGCTCCCAGAAAGTCATTGAGCTACTTTCCAATTCCTTGCCATCAGTGAAAGGAATGTGGAGAAGTCAGACAGACCTACTTACTTCTGTAAGAAAAATGTAAGTAGATGGATATTGATAAAAATAAATAAAAAGGAAAGAACTCACACAGAGTTTATTGAGAGGATGAGGAATGTAGCAAGGCTTAAGACTTTTTTAGCTGGTTGGAAAAAGCATTTCAAAAAGTTTAAGATTTTGCTTCCTCAGTCTCACAATGTGCTTCACAAAAACCTGATCAACTCAGGGAAGATGAAAATAGAAAAGGTGCCAGTAACAGGAACAGGCCCTTGCGATGTGAAGGAAGTACTATTGACCAGACAGGCCTTGCCACAAAAAGCAGAATATAACTACGTTTTATTCTTACCTTTGCTTTCCTCAGCAGAAAGTTTTTCTTCAGAATCATCTAAAGGATTCTGTGAAGGTTTTTCAGGGGAAAGAGGTGATTTGGACACGTTGCTCTGCTCAGGTTCAAGTCTGGACCTAGAAGCACAAGAGCCTATAATTTAACTGATATCACACAGTTGAATTTCTCCAAAATGAGAACAACCACAGATTATTAAATTCAACACTAACTCTTGAAAACTTCACATTAAGGATTTCCCAGTCAAGATGCAAAACATACTTAGCAACTTTCACTGAAATCTTATTACAAAAGCAAAGAAAGCACAAAGTGCTTCATGAGTATTCCTAAATAAAATATATTAGGTGTTGAGAGTTGAGGAGAATTTTGAAGGCTATAGCATAAAACCACAGACATTTTATTAAACTTCCTTTCAAAAATGCAGTGTATTAAAATATATACATTTTAAAAAACCCAAACAAACAACATTTTGGTCATATTGAAAATTCTTTTTAGTAGCAATAGCCAACACCAGTACTTTATTTTTTTCAAGTAATTATTACAATTTTACTTTATATTGTCAATTATCCTAAAGGAAAAGTAAGAAAATACAACAGAAAAAGCTTTTTCCCGAAACAAGTAATTTTATTTAACTATCTTTAAAGAACAGTTTAACCAGGATGAAAGTGATCCTTTGGCTGCCAAAAGACGCAACAGACCATTTAGAAGCAAGAAAAAAAAACATATGCAGTGGACAGATATAGACTACATCCAAGTCCCTGATATGTAATTTTAATACAAAGGCAATGCAAAAAATGAGAAGCATATTCAGTGATTATATATTAAGTACTTGTCAAGTACCTTTCCCTGTGGCACCAAAAAAAGATTAAAATTAGTGGCAACGTATTTTTTTCCAGTAAACTTCTGTGGTTTATTGTTGTCTACATCGAATTCTGTAACTGCTGCATAGCAGACAGTTAAATGCTTAGCAATTATGCTGTTAGAGAAGCTAAAGAACAAAAAACCAAGAAGCAATGGGCTGAATCACCTGCTGTGCCACCTTCATCACTGCCTCCCCTCTCAAATATAATCAACAGTTAATCTCATTATGATCTGCAATCTTCCCCTGCTGCTTAACAGAAGGTGTTGCATTTTGTGTTCCTTTCCTTCTTCATAATGTGTCTAAATTCTAACCCATAATTAGAAAATTCTGGGAAAAACAGAATATAATGCATTAGTCATCACTGAGTGACTATGTTATTTAAACAAGAAAACACAGTAACAGGGAACCTTTCTTAGTTCTAAAAACTCTGCAAGTACTGGGCTTTTGGTAATTTTACAAAAAAGAGCTCTTCTCTCATCTCCTCCCTCTCAAGTCCCAAATTCGCAGAATAATGAGGAAAACAAAACAAAACCCAACCCAACTTATCTGGATGTCCATGAAGTTCAAATAATAGTTCTGATGCTAATAAAACACCAATTCCCCAGATAATAAAAATATCAGCTTGTTTTAAATAATTGCATACATAATCCACAAGATATTCTAATGTAAAAAAGTTTAAAATTGAAATGAAATGTAATTTTGAATAACAATAAACATAAAAACTGAAAATCACAACCAAGTAACTTTGCACAATAAGCTGCTTGTGTTTCTATTTCTGAAGGTTTCATTCTGGGGAACTAGTCCTATGTAATTGGCAGAACTTTTTAATCAAAAAATGTGAGTTAATACATAAAGGCAACTTATGTAAGAAAATTATAACACTCAGGCAATTTGTTGAAGAGCTTAGGATGTTTATCAGTATAAAAGGAAACACGATGAAGTATATTTCTGCTGCAAACCTTTCAGTATTGTCTGATATGCACATATTTTAAGTTGACTAAATTGCAGGAAATAAGATCTGCACTAGGATTAATTTACTTTTAAAGAAATGTATTCCTTTATTGTTTGTTGTCCTTACTTTGCACAGTATGCTAACGTGCATTAAGTTTTCAATTAAAAATGAACAAAATGCTTGGGATGTACTATTTAAAAAATGCCCAGTTCTTTTAAGTGATGGAACATGTTCTTATTATTACATAAAGCATCTGCTGAAATCCTTGGGGAAATTACAAATCAACTAGTTGAAGGCCTATGAAAAGACAATTTTTCTTCTAGTCATCATAAAGATTGGTTTATGCCTTGTGATTTAAATTGAATTTTAATTTAAATGACAATTTAGCCATTACATCACATCTGCAATGCATACAGACTCCACCTGGTCAACATCTGTTTTCTAGTTCTTACATCCGTAAACAGAGGCAGAGGTATCCTCCAATAGCACATAGAAGGACTGCATCTTCTGGGTTATTTTTTTATTTATTTTATATGTTTATATTTATATTTTATTTATTTATTTTCTATTGCTCTTTATTTAAGTGGTATTCTAACTTCTGAAACAGCTCTTTCATTGCTCCATGTTTAGCATACACCAAATTGAGTTGTCTTCTCTGTTTAGTCATCTGAGAAATCTTGAACCTGGGATTTCACATGGAAACAATAGTATAAAGGTACAACAAACAGAAGAGCTGGTATTTGTTAGCCAATTCTGCAACTGCGGGAACCATGCTATCTTTCTTTGAAGTTCTTTAGTATGAAGAATACTGATATGTATTTTTACACACGAAAAATACCACACAGTTTGTTTCTGTATGTTTTTTCTGAAAAGTTACGGCAGTTACAAAAATACCAATGCCTTACTTTTCTCTCATTACCTCTTACCAAATCTCAAAACTGGTTTGGGTTATTTTGTTTACTTGGTTTTGGCTTGTACTACTATTTATGTCTCAGGAGGATATATTTGAGTGATTCTAATTGTGCTTAATTATGCTGAATCACTCTGAATAAAATGTACTTATGGACTTCTGAAAACATCTCCCTAGTTTCAATGTAAATAGCCAATAGAGCCAAACACCAAAGCAGCATCAAGTCTTGGAAAAACACTCAAGAATTTATTTATAGATGTCTATGTTCTAGAATTTGTTGTTATTTTTAAATTAAAATGTACATAATGGAACTTAAGGTTAGAATTCAAATAATGCAGATTGAGAAGACATGGAAAGCCTTTCTGGTATTAAACAAATTGCAAACCTGCTCATTCTCCCTGTCATTCTTACACCTGGGACCAAGCAGAAAAAGAAACTGAAAAAGTATGGGTTTTGATACTTGACTGAAAAAAACCCAAACAAAACCAAAAAAACACCCAGACCAAAGAGCCAGCAAGCACATCATCTTTAACTTCTTTTAAACATTTTCACCTCTGCATTAGCAGCCTGAACGTATGCCATGACAGGAAACAGAAACTCTTCTGTTTCAGTTAAGAAGTTAGATTCAAGATTTTTATTTTAATGATGTTTCTACTTGCCATGAAGACCCACCATCTCAAGTAGCATTTATTCACAACAAAATCACTTGCTTTAGCAGAAAGATAGTGGCTTAAGGAGAAGAAAAAAGAAAAAAAAAAAAAAGACAAAAAGAAAGAGAACAAGAGAGAGAAGTGAACATCTCTTGTACCTAAACAGACAGTATCCTAAATAGCATCTTTGAGACATATTACCAATGTGCAAGATTTCACTCTAAATTATTTTATGCAGAGTATTACTTAATGGGACACACAAAAATATTTTGTTGCATTTGTAGAAGTCCAATAGGTTTATTAACCTACATTTTACTGATTTGGTGCTTTAATCATTTACATAAATGAGAGGTACAACACTATATTGGCACTGCCATTTACAGACTTATCTTCACATGCCAGAAGGGTAAAAGAGCCCTGGAAAGCACCTACTGACAGCAGAAGTTGCTCATCCAACTACAGATTTCCATTAAAACAATCTCCTTAGAATGTAAACATGAATAATAATTTTGTTGAATGTCCTACAAATGAAAGGCACAGTTAAACTTTTTGACACTACTCACAGTCTCTTCTTATCTATCACTCGCTTAACTCGGATGGCTCTTTGTTCAGAATACAGCTTACACACTCCTGTTCAAGATAGCAGTAAACAAAACTTCAGGTTAGAAGAGAATGACTTCTTTCTTGGAAAATACAATCATTCATTTTCAACCATTCAATAAATACTGAGTACTTTTTAAGTAATCTTCAATGAAGTCCAAGACAGCTGTTCTGTGCTCCTTCACCTGAGCAGACTGGACACCCTTGTGTGCTGAAATACAAAAGGAAGATAACACAATCTTTCAACTTTTTACTGAATTGCACAAAAGTTCGCATTTTCAGTTGATACGCAAGTTATATTCAAGAGCCTATTAACATTTTATATATATTATATATTAACATTTGTTTTAAACATAGATATATTTCAATATAGGTTCTGTAAAACAGCAAATCTTTACAACAAACCAAAAGCTGAAAACAACTAGAGTCTTACAGTATTTACGTTATTGATTTGTTATATATGCCACCGAGTAATATTATGTCAATTAAATTTCTAAACAAGAATACAAGTCACCAAGCTAAGCATAGCAAAACAGATCTAGAGATTTAACTTGCTTAAAATATTGAACTTCCAACATTTTAAATTCTCCAGTGTATAGACTATGTGGAGATCTTTGGCATTTATTGTGTCAAGCATGCTTTTAATTCACATATATTAATATTTCTTATTTTGATACTACGTGGTTCCCATGCATGACTGACTTTCAATGTTTCTGAATACTGCTACAACTATGTTTAGATGGCATTTCAAAGCTGATGAAAATCTTTGGTATATTGATAAAAGACAGACACACAGCAAGTCAACTTGAAAATGGCAAAACCGAAGTTCTCTCTACAGCTTTCCTAAAATAATGTTGTAAAGGTATGGTCCCATACTCAGGTTGCCAAAAATGCTGTTAGTTTACCAGGACTCTGTTAAAGTTATTTAATTATCTCAAACTTGGAAAGATTATACTTGTAATACCTTACAGGTACCTACAAGTAGACAAGCTAGAAAGAAACAACCATTGAATTTAGTGAGCTTCGGTTCAGGCCTCTGTGCCACAGTGCTAAATTACTATTCAAGTAGTAAATATTTAAGATTATCTTTTTTATATTTGCTAATTAGTGTATTTGAACAAATAAATAAAATTCTACGCTCTGGCTTCTCCTTCCACTAACATTAAAGAAAATTAAGTACAGCGCTAATCAGCCAAGGGGATTACACAGATGCAAACAAAAAGGCAGTGAGACTTCACCAATGTCTTTACAAAAGCATTTCAGATTCACCATCCAATATTCAGCATTATATTAGCATTTATCTATAACTAAGAAAAAATATTTAAGAGTTGCTCAGTTTACCTTCTGTTCTCAGCTGATGAATGGCATCGGCACACGTCCTCATAAATATCTGAGCATCTTGATCTATCTGATCACGCTCTGTATCTGTCATCCTCACATACTCAGACATAATATGGCTGAGAAGCAAGACAAACTGTCATTTAAGAAATCCCCAACATAAAATCTACAAGTACACATTTTATAGACCTTCCTACTCATCATCTACACAGTAGCTTTTCTGCAACACTGATTTTCACAGAAAAAGAAGTAAAAAGTACAATAACCATCATTGATAAAAATGACACTTCTATAAAGCTGAGAGGGTTTTTTAAAACATTTTTTGACTAGTAAAAGGTGTAGAAAAAGCAATATATGCTATCATCTCATACATAACCAAATACTGAGCACATAAGGAGAAAATACAACTAGAAAATGTATCATTACCCTCAGTACTTATTCCAATAAGGCATATTTCAAGTCTCAAAAAACAAAAACAAGTAGAATAAAGGAATAGCTCAAATATTGAAAGAACTTAAAAAGAAAAAAAAAAAAGAAACTTATCTTACTTAAAGGTATGTTTTCATTATTCTAAATACTGAGCTTCATTTTTAAAGTAGCTGTCCTATGAAATCTGTGAATTCAAATCATAGTAAAGAAGAACACTGGAAAATAATGCACATTTTTAACATCAAGTCGATTATAAGGTTTATTAAAACCTGTTCTCATTGTTTATTTCTATTTTAGATTATATAGTATGTATTTAATATTTTCTACTAGGATTACTGTATCTTTTTGTAACTAAATTAATAAAAATGGAGGCTTGTCAATAAAATATTAACAGACTGTAGATAACCACCAGAAAAGCATCCTGTATAAAGGTATTTAACTGTTTCCACAGCCATAGATGATGACAGGATGGTAACACTTTGCTACAGCAGCTTATCTTGTGTTCATCTTGGGTTTCCTCATGATACAGTCATCGTAGCCTACAATATCTGCCTTTAAAAACAGGAAAGAAAACCTTAACTTATATCCTCATTTTAATTTAGATTTTTATTTATATGTGAAAATTTGTCCACTTGTTCAAGGTACGCATAATGCAACTATATTAATACAGTAATACAAGTAAAAAGAAGGGATCTTCAATTTGCAAAACTAGCCTGATAACCTTAGAGATCTCTTAACATACTTCACTGCAATAATGCCAAATCTTCCCTGTGTCTGCTGCAATCCCTGCCACAGGAATGCCTACAAGCAATTCACATCACCCAATCTCATCATCTCTCATCACATGCAAAACCACCAGCTCCTTCCTGCACCTTCAATGTACTGTCAGCATGGGTCTCCCAGATCTCCACAAAGTTTTAAGCTGACTCTGATGTCCCTGAGTATTATACCAAAATGTCTTCATTCCCATCCCATGTGACTGATTGCACATGAAAAAAGCAGCACGTGGTTTATGTAGCTTGAAAATTAGTTTCTGCTTACTTGCCAGCTAGTACACAAGCACAGATTATCCAGCAAACAGTAAGGCAAACTAATTAGAAGTAATATTCTGTATTTTACTTGTTTGTTTCCAACACTGTCATGCATTTGACATCTAAACATCAGGATATTTTTCCCCCCTTGTTAAAACTATTCTAAATGTTAAAAAATTATTTTTTTATAACTTCCAGAAAACTTACAGAAAAGCAGCCATATATAGTGTTTCCATTTATATCTTACTAGCTGAATTGCTCTCCTTTGGTCAGGACAGATGGGTTTCACAAATTTGTGGCAAAATCCCTATTGCAACTGTAATCAGTGGTGTTCTAAGCTGTAACTCTAATTTGCACTCTCTGAGAAAGCAGCTTCTGAATGATCAAAGACTTGAAATAGTCTGGTTTTAAAGACATCTGACGGAAAGGCTTTCCACAGCCTGGTTAAGATGACATATTGATAGCTACATATGCAATATAAGATAACTCAGATTGTTAAATACATTAGGGCAGAACTCTCCCCCACTCCCTTTGTACAGCTTATATAGATGGGGCTTTTTATTACTAGTCTGTGGAATAAGAAAGTTCTCAGCATGTGTAAAGCCAGAAAATCCATTCTTACATCCACCTCTGCATAGGCCCAGACAGGAGGGGACCATTAAGGTGATCTGGTATGGGATAATGCATAACATCGTACAGCAATCCATGCCTAGAGAGTTACTTGAGCATATTAGGGCACACAGATTCAGATGGAAAATGAGGATGGAGTAACAGCTTCATGATGGCCCCTTGACGAAGCAAAAAAAATCTCCACTCTTCTATTTTAGATTACAATAATAATTTCTGGCTGGCCTGCTACTGAACAGAGTATAAAGTTTTGTCTTTATATGTCTAGGTTCTTGTACTCTGCCCAGCTTTGTAGTGTTTGCAGAGTTCTATGCTTTCAATGCACTTTTTAACATCACAGGGTAAAATAAAGATTACAAAATGCAAACCAGAATTTGCTTTTAAATCATAGAATCATAGAATGTCCTGAGTTGGAAGGGATCCACAAGAGGAGTTTCACAGCTTCAAAGGCAGCAAAATGCAGCTTAATCCAGTAAAAAAGAAACAGAACACTTTTCCTTTTATAACTGCTTATAGCTAACATAGTGTCTGGTACCAGCACTTTTGAACAAGAGCTGGTCAAGCCACTCAGAGGCAAGGATACCTGAAACCCAATCTCCTTGGGAAGGCAAGAATGGAGTCATACAATCACATCCCATTATGTCAAAACACACATGGCATCCACTAGTACTAACAGGGTAGTGAAGTCCCCATTGCACTCCCCAGTAAATCTGCATGTGGAGATTATACTGAAAATCCATCTAATCACCATCCGCTAGCCTTACTGTAAAAAGAACCGTTCATTTAAAAAGAGCAGGCCAAGGAAAAACAAAAACACAAAAACCAAAAACCCAAGTGAACAAAAAAAAAAAAAAATCTAACTGTGTCCTGTATGTCAGAGATACAAACACTTGCTCAGAAGTGCATTGGCACTATCATAGCAATGGGCTGACACATCACAAAATCAAGAAAGGTCAAACGAATCATTTTTTTCAGAAGTAATCAGAAGAATTAGCCAAGACACATGCTGGCTAACACATGCAGATAAAGAAGGAAAAAGGGAGAAAAGAAATTCTTCTAGATTTTTATCCTAATGAATAGGAGAAAGCTTCATGAGAAACATGGGCTGGAAGGTAACTTGGGTTATTTGTGATTTTTAAGAAGGTGGGTGAAGAGTAAGATAAAGACAGTGGCCATCAAGTAGGCAGACTTCAATAGTCTATATAAATTAGTAGGTTAAACTGCATAGAAAAGGGAAACCTAAAAAGGAACAGAAAAGAATTCAGGTGAACTAGTAGTTTTCATATAGAAATGACATTATGATAACTTGCAATTCTGCCCTCAATGAAAGGGAAGAATAGGCAATGCAGTAAGAGATCAACTTAGCTACTTCATGAGCTCTTCACTGAGCTCAAACAGAAAAAGCAGAATATAGAAAGTGCAAATTAGGTCTGATTGCTACTGACAAGTCTAAAGAAACACAGCATGTAGGCACACAATCAGAAAAGGGTCAAGTGCAGGATGAGACACAACTGGCAAGGGATGCCAATGATAATGAGATTACTCTGCAAATATTACTAAGAGAAACATCTAAAATAGGAAATGCATCAAATGAAAGGATGTATCCTCACTGCCAAGAACTAGGGGAGAATAAGTGAGTGGTAGGTCAATGAAAAGATTAAGTGTAGCAACTATCTTTAAAAAATAGGGTTAAGAAAAAAAAAAAAAAAAAAAAAAAGAAAACTATTTTAAAAAAAAAGGGTAAGAAAAAAAAAAAAAAAAAAAACAGAGGACTTACAGACCACTCAGCCTAGGAAAATATAGGAACAAATAATCAAACAATTTTTAAGCGCTTAGGAAAGAACAAAAAGATAACCAGTAGCCAAGACGTATCAAGAATAAGTCATATGCAGTGTAATTTACTTCTGGGATGCAGTAACAGGTCTTATGGATGGATGAAAAGCAATCATTGCTATATATCTTCTCTCTAGTGTGGCTTTTGTTACCATCTCACATGAGATTCTCATAAGCTACCAGCGAATAAATGAGCTAGAAGAAACAAGCACCATATGGACGTGAAACTGTTTGAAAAGCTGAACTTGAAGTAGTTATATACCAAAACAGAAGGACACATTGAGTTGTGTTCCACAGGGGTTTGTCCTGAATCTGATGCTACTTAATACTTTCATTAACAACTCAGACAGTAGAATGGAGTATACACTTATTAAATTTGCAGAGGCATAAAGCTAAGTGAATTAAAACTGTATCAAGAGAACAAGACTTCAATTCAAAACCATACTGCCAACTTGGGAGAAATGACATGAAGAATTTGAATAAGGAATGGTCAGAGGCTCTTTGTTGCAGCAGGAACAATTACCTGAACCCACAGAGAATGGGGAACGACTGATTAGGGAACAGTTCAGAAAGTCATCTGGGATCATAAAGCGAACAGAACAACATGTTGTTGTATAAAAAGTCACCATTACAATGGGATGCAGAAATGCAGTATAATCCATTACGAATGAAAGGTAATCTTTCTGCTCTCCTTAGCTTTGGGCAAGGATTGTCTCATTTCAGCACCTGACTGTAACACCAACTGGGACAGTGCCCAAAGGAGAGGAAAAAGCAGGATCAAAGGTCGAAGAGAACATGTATGAAAAACCAAATATACTGTAATTGTTGTTTCTAGAAGAGGCTGAGGAGAAACCAAAATAAGTTAGTGTAAAAAAAAAAAAAAATTCTAGTAGCGTGGATAAGGAAACAAGGAAAAGCAGAGGAAGGATATGGGATCTCCACTGAAAGAAATATTTAAAAGCAAGAAAAACACGGTGGTAGAATGACCTAGTCATTCTCTTTTTGAATGTGTCAGCCATGCTCCTTCCAACCTATCATTTCTATGATCCTATTTTGCTGGCAAAGCACGAGCAACCAAAGCCGATGGAGGCGTTATACCAGCTTTCAGAATTAGTAACTCTTTCTGCTGGTGCATAAAATATTTTCTGCTTACTGGTTCAATAAAGACACCAAATCAAGCAGACAAACTTGATTTTCCT